TGATCACACCAAATAAAACATTTCCTGGATTAAATTACTCTCCAGTCTCACAGAAGTTTCCCTACAAAGCCCTGGCAGATGGGAAGCATTCTAATCCACATACTTAATGTATCAGGTGGCCATTTCTAGCCATTTTCCTCTTTATCCCTTATCATATTTAACACCACCACCAATTAAAGCCTCTAAAGGCCCTCCACTCAACAGGCTTTAAAAACTGATTCCTGTTCCTTGTGGATGCCCACCAATGAGCTCAAATTCTGGGTGGACGCCCAGGCCAACAGCTGACTCAAATAGCTGATGTCATGCTAACAACTTGTTTTGGGTAGAGTTTGAAATGCAAATAGTACACCTCGTTAAAACTTAAAATTCATTTTAGCAGTGCCTCTGATTTCCTGCTGAGAAGTCAAGATCCGAAGGGAAGAACACTATTCACACGTCTTACGTGAATCAAAAATAAAAAATGAAACAAATGGGTTTTGGAGTTTTATTTTGATTTGGATTTGACACTTTTTAAATTTCCAGGCCAATATCTTTGCCCTTTTGCTACTTTTTGAGATAATAAATCCCAAGTAAAACACACAGAGCATCTACAGAGTCCACAGGCTGAAGCCAGCCAGATTTCTCTGGCTTATGACACCAGCCTGCAGGTCCTTCCTCTGACCACAGGAAGGGTGGGGCTGCCAAAGGGATGTGCAGGTGGGGTAAAGGGACCAAGTGGCAAATCCCAGGAGCTGGATGTCACAAGCTCCTCAGCAAACCACTACGTTGCATGCCACAGGGAGGACTATACCTATAAGTATAGGAAGTATAGTAAATATAGTTCATTTTTGGTATCACATCTCATTGATTTAGATATTAGTTGTGACTGTATGGAAGTCAGGAATAAAATAAAAACAAGGCAAACTCTGGCAGTGTTGTATCCTGTTCATATTATAGAAGTAAAACATATTTACTGGAGAGGACTTGAACAAAAAGCTGATAGGTAAAAGGAAAGATATCATCAGTAATCCTAACTTTGTTACAGCTTTAATTTTTTCCCCAATAAAGATGTATCTTTTATGAAATTGGAATTATACTGCATATTGTTTTCATCCTGCTTCTTTAGACAATATAATAACATTACATAATGTTATATTCTCTAACAGAGTAACTTCAGAACATAATGAAATCTATATAAACATCATCAATGTCTTTGCCAAAGTTCTAAATCTTATTTTAAAAGCGATCATAGTAAATTACATTGCCCTGTCCCTGAAATCATGCATAATTTCACCTATTTTATGTGTTTACAAGCATTGCTTCATTTCTGATGATATAAAAGCTTCCAGAGTGCTCAATTTTTCTTCCAAGGGACAGTCAACCACATTCAAGTCACTCCTGCAAGAAGTTCTGGGAGCTTTTCTTTCTTTCTCTCTTCTCCTCTACCTGTACCTCTCCTTTCCAACTAGTGCATATGTGTACCACTGTACCCAGATACAAGTATTTTTAAATACCTATTATATGCCAGATCATGTTGCAGGCAATGAGTATAAATGTTCCAGAAAATAAATGGGTCTAACTGACATCCATCAAAGGGATATTTACTAGGTTTGGTTGATATTTCACATTTAATTATCCCAAAATGGAGTGAGGTTGAGGCTGATCAGATGAACACTAGCCTCTCTCATCCATCATTCCAACACCCACTTCAAGGAGCATCATCTATAAACTACAGCTGATTCCTGTTTATCACTCCTAGGTCCCTCCATCTTCTTTCCTCCTGAGGAAAGCTTTTCTCAGAAGTGTCAACAGGCCTTACTCTGAAGCTACTGCAGTTCCAAATATCTGGAACATTCTTAAGACAACCTTGACTGCCCTTGTTCCCAAGTGGGGTCACGGGATGACTGTTTAATAGGTACAGACTTTCAGTTTAGGATGATGAAAAAGAAATGGCAGTGGTAGCTACACAACATACATGTCCTTGAAATGCCACTGAACTGTATGCTTTAATGTGATTAAAATGGTAAATTTTATATAATATATATTTTACCAAGATATTTTACCATATTTTGTGCAATATATGTTTTAAATGGCACCACACCACCCTGGGGAAGGTGTCTCTGACATCTGCTTCGACTCACCTGAAAATAGGTAAAACTTAACCCTAAGGAATCCCTTGAGACAGGAATAGTTATAAGTCAAAAGGTACAGGCAAGTCGGCCCTTAGGTGTGCCCACTTCCATTCTGGGGACAAGAGAGTGGGCAAGGTCTGTGGCTGTTCAGAGTCCCAAAGGCACTGTGATGCTCCTCATCCCCTGCCTGTCCACAGTTGGGCAGCATCTTGTCCCTAACATATAAACAAGATAAAGAAGGAAGAGCTTAACCAAAGCTGGGGAAAGAGCCTGTTTCAGAGCTCCAGTCGCAGCTGCATCCAAAGACCTTCGACAAGTCTGTCAGCCACACCTGACATGTTCTGTCTCACTTTTTTGATTTCAGTTTAAATGTCACCTGCTCAGAAGGGCTTTGCCTCAAAGGCAGCCCCTCCTCTTCACCAACCCATTGATCTTCTGTAGTATGACCGTGACTGGCTGGTTTGCTAGCATGTACCACTGCTGGAGATTATACTTCTATTAGTTCTCTAGTTACTTGTTTATCCACACTAAATAGAACCAGAAGTTCCTGATAGTTGGGACTGTGCTGGTTTTGTTCTCTGCTTTATTTTCAAATCCTCACCTCATATACAGTAGGAATTCAATAAATATTTGCACAACAAATAAATGAGTCAGCCTCATCTGTTTCACTGTGCAGAATGGGTCTCTTCTACTTTGTAAAGTGATGTGTAGGAACAGTCAAACGAGATGAGGTATCCCAAGGTGCTTCTTAAAAGGGAAAAAGACACATATGTGATGAGGTCAACATGCTTGAAGAGCCATTTGTAAATCCCAGTGCCTCAGAGGCCTCTAATCGTGACTTTGGCCCAGTGGCCAGCCCTTCCCTTACTTCTTCACTCCTCTAGGCAGAGTTATTGAAATGGAAAGATGATGGCCTTCTACCCAGCAGGCCAGCTGAACACAATACTACCAAATCATTACAAGGTGAGACCTTTCAGAATTTTCTCACCATGAAGCTCAGATAACAAGACAGTGCTTACCAAGTTAAGGACCTGGCAGAAGTCATACATGGGGAGGACCACAAAAGTACTTTCTGTTCCATAGTTAGCTGAGTACAATAAGCATTCATTGGGCTCCCAGTGTATTTTTGATCCTTGGCTGATTCCCAGGAAGAGAAAAATGTCTATCACTGGAGTGGAGGAGACAGGCATTAAACTGAAAACTACAACTCAGTTCTACAAATCTTGACTGGGATGAATTAACAGAAGGCTTTCTAGAGTGACACATAAACTAAATTAATGTTTGTGGTATATAGTGATTATATTCACATACAGAGTTGGTAGACAGAATGATTACATTCATAATGAAGAATTGGTACATGAACATTTTAATTCTTTTTATTCCCCTCTTCTCCCTCTCCCCTTCCTCCACTTCTAGACTCCTTTCCCATATGCAAAACATTCATCTCTCTACTTTCTATTATAATTTCTTCTCTTTAAATTATTCATACTTCAGGTTTCTCATATGTGAGAGAAACTATGCAGTATTTGTGCTTGCATGTCTCAATTATTTCACTTAACTTTATAGTCCCAGGGTGCATTCATTTATCTACAAATGAATTTGTCCTTCTCAATAGTAGAGTAGTATTCCATGAATACCATATTTTCTTTATCCATTTATTTGTTGATGGACATATAGCCCACTCTGTTGGTTGTCTGCTTTGCTGTTCAGCAGCTTATTAATTTGAAATAGTCTCATTGTTGGTTCTTGATCCTAAACTGAATGTAAAATAGAAGACAGCAGGATGAATAAGAGTGAATAGCCTAAGTTAGGCATAGGATGGAAAGACCCCACAGGAGATTCAGGCAGCTCGAAGCACTGAAGGCACTGGGCATTTCTTGATAGAGTATTTGAGAGCCAAGGGAGAGGCAGAAGGAAAAGCACCTAAGCTGGGAGATGCACCTAGAAAAGGGGGCACTGACCACTCTTCTTTGAGCTGTTTCAAGCACTGTAAGCAAAGGCTATGTGTGCAGTAAGCCCATTTTCTCATCCAGCAGCTCAGAGGGCACATTTAGCTTGGTTGGAGTAGAAACACGGAAACATTTCACTGGACTACAAGTAGGCAGACTTGAATTGAGAGAAATTATGTCCAGAAAGCTGGGAAAAAAAATACCAAGAGCAGAAATCCCCACCCAGACCTATTTCCCACACTGGGAACATAGACTATATTGGTGCTTCTAGATTGCCTGGGAGGCTGTGCATCAGGCAGTTTCAGCCTGGACTGTTCAGAATCCTCAACAGCCAGGTAGAGCTAAGAAGGGAAGAGCACCAACTGGACCCCCCCTGGGTTAGCCCAAATGCAACCTTCTCTGAGTCGTGCTGATGGCTTACATAAAATAATTATATCCCCACCAGGGATTTAGCTCAGTGGTGTAAGCACCTGCCTGGCAAGCGCAAGGTCATGAGTTCCATCCCCAGTACCCCTCTCAAAAACAAAATTATATCCCCAGCTTGCTCACAAGATATGGTTGATTCGGAAAAGGAAGGGCAAGAAAGCCAGAAAAGGAGACAAAGACACAGGGAGCACGTCATGAAGTTGAGATAAATTAAATGCAAAAGAGGGTCCCTTTCACTTTTTTTTCCAGTTGTCTTTACAAAAAGCTCCTTAATCCCATGTACTCAAGAAAAAGACTAATTACATACTATTTTTTCACATGTGGATACATTTTAAGGGTTCTTCTGAAGATCATTAAATGTTGTGCATTCATTTGGATAATATTTGTAAAAATAAGAATGTTCTCAAACTCAACCCAGTCCTCTCCTAATCAGTTCTTCCAGCTTTAGACAGACTGGATAGATGTGAAGAACCTCATCTCATTAGCATTTCCCATTCCTCTCCTGCCAACTCACAATCTCCATCTCTGGCAGCATAATGATGTTGAGAAGATCCTGTCTCATACAGCTTGTAAACTCGTGGCTTACGATATATCAAGGTATCCCAGTGCCTGCTCAGTAGTCTCCTCAGAACAAATAGCTGCAGGATGAACAGATGCAAAAGTTGAAAATAGGGTACACTCCATCCATAGGAAAATCAGTAAATAAAAATAAAACATAGTACATTCACACCTCGAAAAGCAGGTTCTGTTGTTTTTATGATCTAAATGTACCTGGAAAGACTTCTACAGCAAATTGTTATATTTTTAAATGAAAATAAATTGAACAAAACATATGAACTCATTTATATAAAACAACACACAGAAACAAAAGCATTTTATGTGCAAGTATACAAAAACATAAATGCATAAAATAAGTCTGTAAGTTAGCCACTAAAGTAAGCAATGGTGGCTACTCCTGAAAAAGAGACTAGAATTAGATGGGGAGCATAATGAGGCTTTTACTCTATCTACAGTGTTTATATTCTTTAAAAATGAAAATGTATCTAGCTACTGCTTATTTGATTAAAAATAAATAATCTAATATTTTAAAACCTGAAATAATTATATCTTCATCATCCTATAGACTTTAATGAGTTAATAAATAGCACTAGAAAGGCAGCAGAACTAGTTTCCACTTGGGCAAGGGTTTGTTTATCGTGCTTATCTTAAGTTAGGACCAACAATGCTAATGATTCCAAATAGCAGTGGCCATTCCTTAGTCACCCCATCCCTTCCTACCCACAGCTTCAACTATCACCTCGATGGATGACTCCCAAATGCCTCTTTCCCATACATAGCCTCTCCCTTGCGCTAGTCCTGACTTTCCAACTTCCTGTTTGGTACGGCCAACACACCTTACGCAAAGCCAGACTCCTGTACTCTCTCCTCCCTTCTATTCATCTCTTCTGCCTGTCTTCTCCTTCCTACTAACACTTACCTCCTTTTTGCCCTGGGGAACCCAGAAAGGAAACTTCTCAGAAACCTCTAGCTCTCTTTATCCACATTCCCACTGCCAAGTATTCAGTTAGTTTTTACTTTCTAGTGAGTGTGCTAAAAAAAGTTCTGTTAAATTCCTTCTGTTGCCACTGATCCCTTTCCAATTCAAATCCTTCCCAGCCATCACCTGGACTAACAGGATCACCATCAAGTGGTCATCTTGCCCTTGATTGCTTTGACCCTCCTGTTAGATGTTCCATTGGGTGAAGGATCAGATATCAGCCCACTGAAGTCACTTTGAGCCTTCATTCTATTAACTATTACATTAGCTATCTCCCGAGCTTTGAGTCATCTAAAATTTGGGGAAATGGCTTTATGTCTTGGCTAAGTATCTGATAAAAATATAAAAGTGGGCTGAACCAAGTACAAGGCTCTGGTTACAGACCTCTTTCTAAGGAAACCCAGAGCTTATCAACAGATTCAAGAAAAAGTTTTTAAAAACTTAGTGTTAGATGCTTTTCACTTATGCCTTATAATAGTCATTGGCAGGAGGTAGTTACCCCAACTTTAGAGATTTTGAAATCAAAGGAGAGAATGGCGAGATAACTTGTAAAACGCTTCACAGCTATTAAACAGTACTTTTTACAGGAACCTGTTTATTGGTTCTAACGCTCATTGTTTTTCCAACATATAGTTGGAATCTTACACAGACCTTTACTTTTTCAACATACCCCTCTTACTCTGTGTCAAAGGCTTTTTTGGCCCTATCTCTAACCTACCTTTGTAAAAAAAGATCACTGTAGGTGTTCAGCTTGTACAGTAAGAAATTTCATGTTCTCTATTTCATTTCATCCTCATCACAATCCTATGAAGTAGGTACTGAAATTGGGTCCATTTTACATATTCAGAAACTGATACAGAGATTAAAACTAACTTAATTTGTAACTAGCAATCAGCAACAATTTTTTACATAGCTTAATAAAGGTCATTTATCTAGTAAGCAGCAAAGCTTGATCAAACACAGGCCTGTCAGACTACAGAGATAATCAGGAGGTAGAATGAAGAGGAATTTCTATTTGTGTAAGTATTCAAGGTGAGTTTATTGAATACATTTGTGGAAGGCTCAATATTGTGAAAGAGTTAAATGTAAAAGAAACGGAAACCACTGAGGGTCCCTGTTCATGGCTTCACGGAGCACTCACTCTACCACAACAGACAAATATTAAAATGGAAGACCACTGGGTACAGTGAGGACTGAGAAGGAGGAACTTCCACCGCTAAGAAACCACGGCTTCAGTGGGGGTAAGAGCACTGGCTGTGGCAAGTGGGTCGTAAAGGCGGTATTTACTATAAAGGAGAACACAGGAGAAATTGGTTTGGGATAAGATTAAGCTTCTTTTGGGATTCAGATTTTGAAATGTCACGCAGGCAGCTGGATACACAGCTCTGAATCTCAGGACCTACAAGAAATGAGCTGCGGACGTTTGCAGTGATTGACATTAAAGGTTCAGTTCAACTCATGGAGTTGAGAAGCCCCAATATATATGTAAGATGGACAAGAAAAGTGAACGTCTCAAAGGAGACCCTGCCAGCAAATATCCTCCTGTGAACAATCTTCTCAAGATGCTCCACCTCTTCCCCAAGAAAGGAGATTTTCACCCTTTCCATCAAGCCACATCTGCACTCTGCATGAGAAAACTCCCTATGTTGGTCTATCCATTTAACAACTATCAGGGACACAGACTGCTTGGTAAGGACATTCAAATTTTAAGGTATTTGTACCCTGACTGCCTAAATGGACTAAGAAGTCTTTGATGGCAAATCCTGAGTGCAGAATTAAAAACACAATAAAGGTCCTCCCTTATTAAAGAACCAACAGACTACTTAATTCCAAAGAGTATCAAGCAATAAATCGATAGTTGAGCATTTATGAGAACTAGTTACTCCAGATGACCTGACTGGCTTCCTTAAAACGACAGCACCCAACTCCCTGGGCATTCTCCCAAATTCTCTCTGAGCCTTTGCACCACACAAAGCTGCTCACTCTTCGAGCGCATTCTAGTCTTACTCCTTGGAATGTGCTGCCTCAATTCCAGCAGCCCTTAGGTCCAAAATTCTCCAAACTGAAAAGAAATTTCTTCCGAAAGAAAAAATGAGAATTGAAATGTTTTACTAAAGAAAACACCAGATAGCAACAATAGAAGCTTTTTTCTCATGAGTCAAATTATAGTTTTAATCAAGGCCCTTCAGCAAAATATTGTCAAAATTTACAACTCATAAGTGAATCTTCTTTTTTATGTTTTATACTACCCTTCCACAAACGAATAAATATCAGAAAAATTAAGAAAGGGAGAGGATTAGCAACATCTTATTCCCAAATTACAGAAATGAGGGCTCAAGTAAGCTCAGGGCAGCAGCGGCTCAGGAGGCACTTACCAGCCAGCACAATGCCTGACGACAGGACACACAGGACCCAGAGTAACAGCTGAACGGGTGAGTATCAAGACACACAGAAGAATGCTGATGTGCAAGCAGCAAGAATGTGAAAACGGCTGAGGTGAAAAGGCCACCAAGCAGCTCCTTTTATCCTGGAGTCAAATTCTCCTCAACTTCTCCACAAAGACACTCCTAGAGAAGTCAAACATTCAGGTGATTTTCTTGGACAGATAAGCTTTACCACAGGTAAACAAAACACATACTATTTTAATTTTTTTAAATTTTGTAATCAATTTCCCTCTTCTGTCTCTCTTTCGTTTATGTGGGTTCTTTTGTTTGTTTGCTTAGTCCTGGGGATTAAACCCAGGGACTGAAACATACATGCTAGGCAAGTCCTCTGCCTCTAAGTAAAATTTTACTTTGAGACAGGTCTGGCTAAATTTTCCAGGCTGGCCTCAAATCTGCAATCCTTCTACCTCAGCCTCCTGCATAGCTGGGATTATAGGCATGTGTACTACCACACCCAGAAGAGCATGTTGTTGTTGTTGTTGTTGTTGAAGTTAAACACTTCACTTAAACCAAAACTTGATGTTAAAACTGACTAGCAGATTCTAAGACAAATGCTGCACCCCCAGCTTTGTCTTTCAGGCTTACTGCACTGCTCTTTAATACTTTTTTACTCCAGAAAAGGAGACCCACACTCTGTGCCTCAAGCATGGTACCTATCCAGAGGTTCTGCTTCGCCTGTCTACTAAAGAGCAAAAAGAAATAAATGTCCCCATTAAAAAGAGAGAAAAAAGACATTCCACTTTCATTTCACAAGAAGGCAAATATAGAGGCTACCCCTGACTAAGAGCAAATTTCTCCCAAGGGCACACTCCATTCTCCCCAGAATGCCTCCCACAGAAACCCTGTCACTCAGAAAACCACTAGGGGTCTCCTCTAATGAATCTATGCACATTCACGGAGCACCGGGCTAACTGTAATTCTGGCCTGACAGAACTATGGCCAAGACAGAACTACTTTTAAAGTCAAAAGTAAAATCTAAAGCACTTCTAGATTAATATCTCTATCTTCAAGACATGATTTGTTAACAAAATGATAACAAACTGCCACAACAAGATTGTAAACATAGTTTAATGGTAGGTAAAATGTGAAAAACATCAATCATCTCAAAAATGACCTTTCTGGCATTTGATAAAATCCAACTCCTTTCACTTTTTAAAATCCAGGAATACCAGTTTCTCAAAGTGACTTAAATCAGAAGCCAACAATAACTGTCTAGTAAATCTAAATCAGGAACAAAACAGAAGCCTACTTATTACCTTTGCCCTTGTTTATTACTTGATCTGAAATGTCTTATTTAAAAAAGAAGCAATTATTAGTTGTGGGTAATTCTCTACCTACAAGAATTAGGAAAATTTAACTAGAAAAGTAGGTAAAAAATAAAAGCCATTTCAAAAAATAACTAAAAACAATAGAATTAATATGAAGAATTCTATAAAACTTGACTGAAAGAAAAACATTTGAGACTCCCTCCTCCCTGGTAAGTGGCTGCGGTGTGGCAGACTGTGGCCCTTCCAGTGGGAGAACCACCAGCAGCTCTTGAGATCCATGCCATGTTGGAACTTAGGACACTGGGAAACTAAGCAAGCAGCTCCCCTCCCTGATAAGTGGCTACAGTGTGGCAGACTGTGGCCCTTCCAGGAGGAGAACCACCAATGTCTCCAGAGATCGGCGCCATGTTGGAACTTAGGACCCTGGGAAACCAAGCAACCAGCCTGCCTCCCTGCTAAGCAATAGTGAACCTACTGGTGCACGGCCTAGAGTCAAACATCCCACTTCCCATACCCCCCCCCATTCTTTTCTTCCCCCTGTTAGCAAATGGGAACCAGAAATCTGAGCATCTCCTGGGAGGTTGACCATAGCAAATAAATGGGATTTCCTTCTACCATCTCTTTGAAGGCAAATATTTTGTTACTGTTTTGCTCTATTCTGATTAATGGTACTGCTCTATTCAATATTCTGTTTTGATATGTTCTATAATGTTCTGTATTTCATTTTATTTTGATATATGTGATTGAAAGGACAACTATTGTAAAGATAACGAAATATACTGTGATTCCTGAAAGGTTTTTGCCCCAGATGGGACACTGGTAGTTAGAGAAAAGCTGAAAGGCGGAACCAAGGGGCTCTATCTTGAGGCCACCTCTCCCTGCCCGTAGGCAATTTACCTGTGACACAGAATGAATACTAATGTCCTTAGGCACCACCCCAAACCTAAGCTACATGTATGCCCCCACACCATGTGTCTGGCAGAGAGAATGCCAGACCCCGGAGGGTCAGGGGTCTCTCCCCATAATCTTAAAATAAAGGACATTTTTATTTCATACTTTTTCTTTTCAGCCACGCCAAAATCCTATCAGATGGTTCCCTACTGTGCCGAAAATTCTCTCATATGGTTCCCTGACCAGGAACGGCAGAGGAGAGACTGCTCGTGAGTCCCCCGCCGTTCACAGACCAGACTGCATACTGGATTAATTCCTCACTTTTTGTCACTGCTGGTTTACAAACAACACCAATCTAATTCATTTACCACAGGTGAGCAATCTCCAGAGATTACTAGGCACCCCAAACGGGTTTTCTTCTCATTCCCTGGACTTGAATGACGCCTTTAAGCTCTTACAGGCAGAGCCATTACTGTAATCCACGGGAACTCCACTCGTGCCTCTGGTGACTGTACTGTCCCCGGGCACCACGGTCCGTTGCCTTACCTGACTGTGACTCCATGGGCTGGGCCCCACACTGGATTTTATCTTGGGGACCACTTCCTGTCCCTCCCCCCAAAACCATACCTATTTATAGCTTATCACACTGATGACAAGTTTACAAAAACTCTCCATCTTTGGGCCTTTATTTTGAGAATGTGTCCTTTCTTTCCTCCCCGCTTCCCCTCCCTGCTGCCTTCCCTGCTGAGATGGGCGAGGTGTGCCCAGATAATGTTGGGGAAAATACCAGCTAACTGCTCTGGGCCCTCACCCCATGCCCCAGCTCCGGGCGCCCACCCACTCTGCATGCCCCACCCACCCTGCACACCCCACCACTCTGCACACACCTCCCCCCAATCCTGGGCACTCTGCCCACCCTGCGCACTCCGCCCCCACCCTCCGTGCTCTGTCCCTGGCCTGCACACTCCGAGCATCTCGGAGCAGTCCCAGGTCCGCGCTGTGCCCCAGCTCCACGTGCTCCCTGCCCACCTTATGCACTGTGCATGTCTCCCGAGCGCTCCCAGTCCCCGCCCCCAAGCGCAAACACTGCTCTGAGCTCAAACACAGATGAGCAGTGGCTCAGTGGCTCTGAAATGACACAATGGGATGCTATGTGAAAAAAAAGGGCCAATTCCACCTGGTAATTTTATCAGCCTTGTTTATCAATTAAAGCCTTCAACAATCTCCATAACCTTATGTGAGATACCTCAACTAAAGTTCATATGACTAAGACAATTCATTGATGGTGTATTCATGCTTTCAAATATAAACTTTCTGCTGCCTTTTTCTTGTGTTCCAGCAATGACAAATGTTTTCTTTCAGATCCAGACATATGCTTAAAGATGTTTCACAAATTTCTTCAGCGTTCAAATGTTAAAATGCTCATGGTTGATAGCAATTTACTGTTCTATGTTAAGCTTACTGCCTATATTATACTGGACTGTTACCAATCTTCTAGATGTTTAACAACAAAAATTAAGATGTAATTATAAATTCCTTTTGAGGTAAACCACTAGATCTTTTCCAGAAAAAAGGTTATATGATACAAAACAACAAACCAACACTGGGGCATAATAAGCCAGACTTGAGCCTTTCCCAGCCTGTCCACCTGCCCTGGCTCTGCCCTCTGCAGAGCCATAATTAACTCTACTCAACTGATGTTAAATGATATCATAGCTGATCTCTCTCCTAAATAAAAAGGTAAAAATAAAACAGGCCATCCTCCAAAAATCAGATGGCATTAGACATTTTAATAACATAAAGAGATACTTACATATGACATAAATGACATCTCAGTTTCTAAAATTCTCTAGACCTTGTCCTCTTTATGGGAAGCCATTACTAAAGTTATAAATACTCTGTTGATTATATTTGACTCCCACATATTTAATTAATTCTACAGATACCTTCTACTGTAGACCAGATCCCAAGACAATAGGCTAAACTTGGCCCTCAAACCCTACAGGGAGACCTTAATATAGCTTTTGGTATTTTCAACAACAGAGATAAAAAAAAAATATCTTTTAGCAGTGACACTTGAAGTTCTGAGACAGGTAAACCGACATAAAGTGGAGCTGTCTGAGCGCATGCCCCCACCCCACCATGCTTCCAATGCAGCAGAAAGACATTGGGCAAGAGATTGCCCCACCCTGGCGTTCCTTTGAGACCTTACCCCAGGGATACTGGACTGTCCTAGCCACCAGAGAGTGGGTAAGCCATCCTAACTTCTAGCCCTCACAGGAAATGCCAACACTGCCAGATTCATCACTGACAGATCTGCTTAAACTTGCTGCTGAAAACTGACAGGGCTCAGGGCCCACAGCCCCCATTAAGGTGTCCTTCTCAGAGTCCTAAGTCCCACTAAAAGTCTCAGGTAAGACATTCTCTATACTTGTGGACATAGAGGCCATGTATAGGGTTCTTCCTAAGTTTTCAGGCCACTATATTAAGTTCTCAGTCTCTATAGAGGGTATTGATGGCCAACCCATACAGCCTATACAAGACAGGGCTTATTTCGTACAGGTTCCAGACTGCTTCTTCCCAATCCACCCAGTGGTGCCAAACCCTTAGACCATGCTCTCATAACCCTCCCTCCACCACTCACTTTACAGTCCTAAATCTTAAAAATGCCTTTTAATTCCCTTTTGTTAATGCAGACTGACCCAGACAATGAGGCCTAAACAGCTTACAACTGTTATATCTAGTAAAACCTCTCCTCAGGGATACATATCACCCCCTTCCTTTCTTATTCACCAGTTTCTCAGACACAACTGTGGTCAAGACTGACAGATAAATTATATTTTCTTACCTTTCTTTATATTTTTTCAGGATACATAAAAGCCTTCTCACAACCAGGTAAACTGCTGATATACTTACTAAAGTCC